AATGCTGACGTGTCACCCGAAATGTTGTGGCGTGCCACCTTTCACAGGCATGCCATAGGTTTGCCATCACTGGTATAGATTCTTTTAAGAGGATTTTAGGTTGCTTCTTCCTTACAGCCAAGGCCCCATCATGATGCAAAGCACAGGTCCAAGCAGGCAAGTTGCAAGCGTACGCCATGGTCCAGGCAGCCTCCAAGGGTAGCAGTGAGACTCTCACAACATGCCCCTCGTGCAGTGCAGCCAGGCAGCCCCTTTGCGGATCCTTTCCTGCAAACGTTTCCTACCTGCCTGCTGAGTTTTGCAATGCATACTTTCCCCTCTGCCTGGCACGTGCATGCAATGGGGCGGCAGGGGAACATGGGGCCAGGGACTCCCCCCAGGACTCAGAAGACTGACGCTGGACGAGCACTTTGCAAGACTCCCGTCCGTTCGCAAGAGGAGGCTTCCCACGAGAAGGGCTCCGCACTCACCCAGACAGTCACATCTGGATCCCCGTCCCCGCAAGACTCTCCTGCAACCTCTTTGCCTCCTGGAAGCCTCAAAGGGTTAAGGCGAGCGAGTGCAGCGTCCTAGAGGGGCCCGACTGCCGGTGATGTCATTCACCCGGAGCAAGGAGGCTCCAAAGTTGGCGGTCCAGCTGTGGATGCAGAAGGAGCCCCCTGGTGGATCCCCTGCGCAAGGCCAGGAGGGAACTATTCGTTCGCAGCAGAGAAAGGCGGGGTTGTAAATCCTGGTGCGGGTGTGCGTGTGGGTGTGGGTGTGGGTGTGGGTGTGTTTATGAATGAGCCGGCTGAGGCGCGCGAGGGCGCGTCTAGAGCAGAATTTGAAACGTTTGGAGTATGGTGCATCGTGTGATTTTAAGGCTTCTTTTAAAAGCCTCCCTTCCTAACTTTAGGAATTCTAGTTTCGTTTCCATTGTCTGATTTTATTTCTTCTGCCCATTTTTCCTGAATAGCACTGATCTTCGTTTCAAAACACCCGCCTTATGTCGTGTCTTAGTTTTGGTTTGTTTTTTCCTCTTCAAAAGTTGCTCTTGTTTGCTTTGTGGGGGAACAAAACAGGCTGGAAGAAGATTATTTAACCCAGGGCCTGGGAGCATCTATGGAAAAAAAAATCAAACCATAAGCAACGATTCAAATATTGTTTGAACATAGATAGTGAGATTACTATTGTACTGTAATAAGAATAATAATAGATACTGGCAATTTAAAATTAAATTACAGAGATGATATATGAGTGGGTTTGCACCCTTGAAGCAGGACTCTGACAATACTGTTTCCGATGTGGCTGAATGTGCCAGCCAAGCGGTGTCTCAAGGGAACCTGGATTGCCTCACGCCCTTGGAGGCGCTGGCCCTCCTGGAGCCGGACCCACAGCAATCCCTGCTGAAAGGGGGCTGGCAAAGTGGTCCATCTGGGGGCTTTCCTTGGTTGGACCAGGGTGGCTCTGCTGATATATCTCATAGCTGTGAACTCCTCGGAAGACTGTGGCCACGTTGGGTTTGAGTACATCAAGCACTCGTGGGAACAAGCATCAGCAAACACTCCACTCAGCGCCCTCAAAATGCACATTATGTGGAGACTCAAGTTCTTGAAGCAGCCATGGCAAAGACTCATATCTGAATGTTGACTAAACAAATGCCATTGTTCCACCCATGGCCAGCACCACACTTCCAGCAGAAGAGGGGCTCACGCTTTTGGCAAGAAGAGCTGTAGACTGTTACCTGAGAGACCAGGCAGAGAGGGCACGTGCTGACCCCGTCAATGGGGTCCAGAAAGAGAGCCTTCTCTGCCGCGGCCCCCGCCCTATGGAACACCCTCCCCCCAGAGGTGAGGCAGGCCCCAACTCTCTTCTCCTTCCGGAAAGCAGTCGAGACCGGGCTCTGCCAACTGGCATGGGGCGAAAAAAGGGCAACCAACCCTGGGGGTGGCTGGCACCTTGAAGACGCTCCCATATGTTAACATCTTACTGGTCATCAACATCTTGGAAGATGTTATTATTTGTGTATGTGTTTGGTTTTATTCTATTTTTACTGTATTTTTATACTGTTTTTATTGTATTTTAATTAATAATTATTGTTGTTTTATTGTGAACCACCCAGAGTCACTTCTTTGTGAGATGGGCGGTATCTAGCAACCAACCCTGGGGGTGGCAGGAATCTTGAAGACAATCCCATATCTTAACATGTTACTGGTCCTCAACATCTTGGAAGATGTTATTATTTGTGTATGTGTTTGGTTTTATTCTATTTTTACTGTATTTTTATACTGTTTTTATTGTATTTTAATTAATAATTATTGTTGTTTTATTGTGAACCACCCAGAGTCACTTCTTTGTGAGATGGGCGGTATCTAAATTTGAAATATAAATAAATAAATAAATTTGCTTTGAAATGGGAGATACTGAACCAGCTGTACCTCTCAAGCCAAGAAACAACCCAGCTCCTCCTCTCCCAGAGCCTTTGAAAAGATGTAAGGCACAAGTAGGACCCACAGCTGCATTGTGGTCTCAGGTGAATCCCAGGTGGTCACAGTCCTTCTCCAGCCCTTCTGGAGACTTGCAATGGGCTTTCCACACCATGCCTTTGGCAAAATCATGCCCTGTTGTATTCTGTTAAATAGTTTGTATTTAAACTGGGGTGAAGTCCAGGGATAAGGGAAATCCTATATCTGTCCAGCCACTCTGTACATCTAAAGAAAGTTTCTGCCTTCGAATGAAATGGGTGTGTTGGAAAAGGGGCTACCAGATGCCTCCAGATTTTTCCTTGCAAATAATTCCACTTTTTCACTCCCCGAGATGAGCCTCAATCTCCCTGCCCCTGCGCAATTTCTCAGGTCAACTCTGCCTCTATGTCTTCAGCAGATCAGGATTTGCTCCTCAAGAAGGCACAAGCTGGATTTTTACTGTCCACAACCTGATTTTTTAATTTCTTCTGTTGTCAGACCTTCTGTGCTCTCTTTTTAATAAGCATTTTTTCTCCCTTTTTTTCTTGGCCTTTTGTGAGAGGAGTTTCTCCTGGCAGCCACTGATCATTCAGAAATGCTATAATTACCAGAACTTTATAAATGTTCTTTTTCTTTTAAATAAGTTAATTGTTCCCCCCCCCCCTTTTTTTTTTGTTCTGGCTACCTTGTTCCTTCTGCCCCAAAGAATTTCTTCTAGGAGCTGCAGATCGTTCAGAGCTCCAAGTCATTTTTCTTCTGCACTTCTGATATTTATATATATATTTATTTATATAACAAATTGTCACTGCCCATCTCACTGAAAAATGACTCTGGACGGTTTACAAAAGAGATAAAATCAATTAAAATACAATATAAAAATCTTCAAAATAATAATATTGGCTTAAGGGTTATGAGATTCCAGACTGTTCAGAAGTTTCCTTTTCTAGGCATGTGGTGAATATGAAGTGTTTCTAGATGGATCTTGACAGACTGACTTTGAGTTGGGTATTTCACTTCACAGGAGAAAAGAGACTCAGGCCTGTAGTTCACATGGTTTTTCTGCTATTCTCCTTCTCAATTCAAATTAAATGGAGCTTAAGAAGAAAACCTCCTTGATTCTGTTGGATCCTGTTCAGACGAATATAGCTCTTTGCCTTCCTCCTCAGTCCCTGCTTCTCCCCCACAGGTGGAGGGAGACCGTTTCTCTCTCTCTCTCTCCCCCTGCTATGTTCGCAAGCACCCCAATGAACTTGGGGTGCCTTGGAAGCCATGTGAGATGGGCTAAATTCCAAATTAGCGGACCCCATTTGGGCTTCCCATCTTGTGTGAGGCCAGCTCTCTCAGGTGGATTGGATTCACCCAACACATTAAGCCAGATACAAGCAAGCCATATGAGATGCATCTCATCAAGGAAGGACTGGGAGCAAATTCTGCCCCTTCCCTTTCCATGATCTTCATGAGAATGTGTCACTATTGCTCAGTATTTTTTCTTCTTTAAACGCTGAAGATAAATTGCATCATGCCATCTCCACCTCCCCCACTGCACCCTCACAGCTGCTCAGTGCTTGTAGCACAATGGTGGGGACATAGACACCACCACCTTTCAACAGAAGAGAATCTCTGTGGCTCAGGCTTGAACTGTGGAGTCCTTGGTGCTCTCTGAGCTTGGTGGTTTGCTTGCAGACGTTTCCTTACCCAACCAGGTAACATCATCAGTGCGAGTGAGTGTGGGGTTTGTTCCCTGTTTATATATACAGTAGCTGTATATAAGCAGACAAGCCCAAAGTTCTTTGGGGAGGTTTCTGCTTCCTTTTACTTGAAAGATGGTTGGTTGTGGGACAGTGTGGAAGTCGGAGCAGAAGTTGAAGGATTTTGTTGCAAGGGCAATGAAGAGCTAGCCGATGTGTGTCTTGGAGATACCTCCATTTTTCTTAGCCACTTGATACACAGCAATGGACACTCCATGGTTTGAAAGAGACTACTTTTCTCTATTCTCCAGAAACCTTTGGGAAGGACAAAACCCTGACTCAGATGCTACCTTCTGAGGCAGCTACAGAAATATTTAGCTGCAGTGCATTTTGTTAGAGAGACTTTAGATCTAATGTTTTTCATCCAGAATCTACCCTGGAAGGGGCTTCTCCACCTTACCAGCATCAGCTGGAATTCAGTGACAGTGCGCCCCAGTGCCCCAAAAATAGCCCATAGGGGTTCTGGAGTTTATATTTTTATATGAAGAAGACCAGAAGAGTTGGCTGGGTTTTTAAAATCTTTACTCTCCATTTCACAGTGTGCTTTCCACCCAATTCCATCATCCTGCCCCCTGCCCTCCCCCGGAAAATGCACTCTCCTATTGCAGAGGCCCTTTGAGTTGCCTGGAGAGCCCACCAGGGGGCTCCCTCTGTAAACATCAGGACTGGCAGTCTTCAGCTTCAGAAAAGAACTGAGCATGTGCATCCTTTTGCCAGGTGAGGGTCTCTGCTGCATCCTGAGATGCTTCAGAGCAAGGCAGGAAGTGAGTGACGTCATCACAAGTCTGGCTTCTCTAGGACTCTGCGCTCTCTCGCCAGAAGGCAAAGAGGCTGCAGGAAAGTCTTGCAGGGATGGAGATCCAGATGTGCCTCTGGGTGAGTGTGGTGCTCCTGTTGTGGGAAATCTGCTGGTGGGGAGGAAATGGAGACATGCAAAGTCTTCATCCAGGTCCCACCTTCTGAGTCTTGGAGGGGGAAGAGACTGGAGGTTCCATGTTTCCCGCCCATCCCTTTCCATGCATGAGCCAAGCGGGGGGAAAGAAAAGCACCCAACCAGCTTTCTTCACACCAGGAAAAAATCCAGGATCTCCAAAGATGAGGAGGCAAAGGGAGACAACCTGGGGAACCCCTTCATCCCCCCCATTTTCTGAGAAAAGGCCCTGAATAGAGAGCGGTTTGCACAGCAAAACACAAGCTGGAAAATGCAAGAATGGAGATGCACGTAGGGTCATTTAGGCTACAGAATGTTGTCAGAACTCAGCTGGTTTCTTACTAAGCTTTCTGAACAATGGCAGCCTGCTACAATATAATCTTATTTGTTTCAGCTTTGCATTTTATGGAAATAGAACCCATTGCAGTGGTTAACTAGTTTTGGGTTTGGCATCTTGCATGAACTCTTCTTGCCTGCATGAAACCAGATTGTTGTTGTTGAGTCGTTAAGTCGTGTCCGACTCTTCGTGACCCCATGAACCATATTGTGCCAGGCCTTCCT